AACACTGATATAAACATGGCAATACTGATGTATGGAATTAAAACCATGGCTGGTTCTTCGTGAGAGCACAAAAATGTCCAAGAAAACATACCTTGAAGATCATCACTATTGCATTTCAAAGCTCTGCTTTTACTTCCATTACAATATAACACTACAGGTCATAGTACAGTCGTGGCCAGAATCTACTGCTCTTTGGTCAAGTCACACTTGAAAGGGGACCAAAACACCAGGGTGGCCAGCACCTTTGACACTCTGCTGCCAGTTTTTGAAACCAAACTTATATGATTTCTTGGTAGGCTAAGTTTTGTATTGACAACTCTTTAAAAGTGTACTCTCTCAGATACCTGCATTTAATTATTTACAACAAATGTATTATGTATTACAACCACAATTAACACTAGCAAACAGTTCTCTATTGCATCCTTGACAACGGAGCATTGTGCTTGCTGAGCAGTGTCAAATGTCAAGACACTCAGCGATTGGTGAGTGTTTTCAGAAATATTTGCATCATCCACACAAACTGGTGAGAGTGCAGAAATCTGCTACCGTACAAAGGAACCACAACAGAGTTTTTAGTACAGCACCATATACCTCCTTGCCCCGAATTTTACCTAGTGACTGCCAAAAACTTCCAGCAACCATTCACCAACTGGTTGGAGAACATAGATTAATGAACAAAGGCCACTTACCAGTCTCTAGGCATAGTTAATAAGAACAGTTTATTGTTTAATTCTGTTGAGTTCATTTCAGTTTAGGTCAGTGTGCATCTGAATTGAACAAAAACATTCTCAAGTCTTTCTTCATTCGCATTAGAAAAATTTATTTTGGTAATTTCTCACAGTCATTTTGACAGTTCTGTTTGATGAAAAATTCAACTTTGACTTGGCTTTTTATCATTTTAGGATCACGTAGGAATGTGCTCAGTAATGGTTGGTGGTTTTATTTATTTTTTCTTAGCAGAGGATAAATGGAGAGTAGTGTTGAGCAGTCAGGAGTTTCACACCACTTTGTTGTGAGGCTGGATTGTGTGCCTGCACTGTGTTACCAGCTACACAGCTTCAAGTTATGTCGCCAACCTGAAAGGGAAAGTTATAGAAATATTATCTTATTTTGAGTAATCTGGTGATATTTACAATATTAATGAGCTAAATTCAATAAGTGACATTTAAAAGTTGAAATAAGAGAAAACCTACAAACTGAACATGAGGCGGGGGCGCTGGAGCACGTATGTGACAGCACTGGCAATGTCTTTGGATTCCAAAGGCTGTCAGAGAAGTGAAAATGCTTAATAACTTTTATCAGAGTAATCATATTAACAATCTATAAACTGTGAGATTAATAATTATACTTAAATTCACTGTACATAGCAGCTACTTTTCAGGTTCATTGCTGTGGAGCGTGATACAAATTCTGTGTCCACTAAACCAGGAGAGAGGCTCTGTAAAACAAAAAGAAAACAAAGGTAAAGAAGTGTGATTGTGGTCGACTTCGGAAGTATTGTAAATGTCTCATAGCAGCTGAAATTGGTTTTAAGGGCACTTTTTGGTTTATCAGTGTTCTTTAAAAACCTACCGTGTGGTGCTGATATGAGTTTTTCTGCACGCAGCCCTGCTCAGGCCTCAGCGCGGTTACAGCGAACTGGTCGCCATGTAGAAATGTAAATCGGAACGGGATAGACATGATGTCCACCCACACTACAACAGAAGAACATTTCACTAGGTCAGCATTTACCAACATATTTTTTATCTGATTTCAGGATCACATCTGTGTTTTATCCTTGGAGGAGGAGTCCTCTTTACCAAAGAAATGAAACGAGTGAGCGCCACTGGCATCTTAATAAAATGTCACCCTCTTCCTCCTCATCTCAAACTCATCTACTGAACTGAATTCCAGGATTGAATATACAAAAATGTGCACAAATATGCCTATTTATTCCCAATATTGGGAATAAAGGCAAATCTTTTCATTCTCACTATTGAAATCTCCACAGTTTCCATTCACTTTAGGTTAAGAGTCTTGGCATCATCCTAGACAGCTCACTATCCTATAAATCTCACATTAATGATCTCACTTGTTCTGCCTATTTCCATCTACGCAACACGGACCGATTGTATCCTTCTCTTTCCACCCAGTCTGTATCCTTTCTTGATCATAGTATAGTTACATCCCACACTGTCTATTGTAATTCTCTCTTGCATGGTTTCCCCCAAAAATCCCTCCATAAGCTTCAACTGGTTCAAAACTGCGCTGCCCGCATACCAGCACATCATCCATATCCTTCAGGAATGTCACTGGCTCCCTATGAAATTCTGAATGGCATACAAGTTTCATCTGATTACCTTCAAGACCCTTCATAACCTTGTTCCTCCTTACCTTTCTGACCTGTCAAGCACTACCTCTTCTGCCCGCTCACTTCGATCTTCTTCTTCTATCCAGCTTGCCTTCTTTCCCCCTCAGCACCATGGGAAGCAGAGCTTTTAGCTCTCTGCTCCCAGCCTGTGGAACTTTCTACCTCCAGATATAAGAAACATTGGTTCTCTCCCCCAGTTGAAATCTCAACTTAAAACCTCTCTGTTCAAGTCTGCATGTTCGCTGTGAACTTATTGTTTGTATATTTTATCTTGTTCTTTTGATTGTTCTTTGTTTGCCATTAGTGTTAGCAACAGAAGCTCATAATCTCAATCTGAATCTGAGCATGATTATATTCAAAGATATTTGAAAGATGTTTAAATCATCAGACTTCACAGGCATGGCCGTCGTTGATCATCAGCAAATAAAAATGCACCTGTTATGTTTATGATGTGCCCATCGTCAACATGTCTCTCTTTCATTGACTGATATGCTTCATGCGCGCAGATACTCAATCCAAAAACGTTCACCTGCAAGAGACCGAGAAGAAGAAAAAAAACTTTACATTTAATCATTTCTTCTTGTGCACAAGTGTAAATTAACCCACAGTGTTAATTCTTACTCAGGTGCAACATTAAAAGCACTGATAGGTTACATTTATTATTTTAATGTATTGTTCTGGTGGGACACCCTTGATGTTACTTTGAAAGAAATCACAAACATCGCTGCAGACCAATCCAGGAGATAACACTGAGCTCTTACATCCATCATGTTCTTCCAGCCGCTGGTTTTGCCACTTAGCAGCGGCTCTGGGTGAGCCAAGCCGGCGTTGTTGATGCACACGTCCACGCCTTGTGCTGCTCTTTGATCGCTGCAAACATGGACAGAATCTCCTCCCTTTGGTCAAGTCACACTTGAAAGGCACCAAAACACCAGGGTGGCCAGCCTTGACACTCTGCTGCCAGTTTCTGAAAACAAAAAGCAAAAGATGATACCTTCATAGTCACCATCGCATTCAGATTCTTGTGGTAAAAATACTCTGGTAAAAGTTGAATTATCGATTAAACTCCTTTACTAAGTTAAAAGAGAAAAATTCCAGGCTCTGAAATGAATTCAAAGCATAAAAGTAAGAAGATAGGGACATTTCAATTATTTTGCAAAGGAAACATAACCTTGTACAACTTCAACATAATAGCAGAATTAGACATGGGAATGAAAATAATGAATATATGAGTATAGTCAGGGGCTAAAATGGGATTTGCAGATGTGAGAACCGTAGGATCACTGTAGTGGTTATAAGAGTGTGAGGAAATTAATCAAGAGTCACAATAGGCTCTATTGAGAGATCCAGCAGATTTTTTTCTCTACAGGCTGTGATCAGCTGACCTGTGCTGTGGCTGTTGACCCGAGGTTTACTGCTCTTTGTGGATTTACACAACTCATCAGTATGTAAGTAAGTAAAGTTTATTTATTAAGCGCTTTTCATAGACAGGTAGTCACAAAGCGCTGCACACAGATACGATAAATAGCAAAATGCACAGTATACACAATATAGAGTTTAAATGTAAATTAAAAATATAAAAATGTAAAAAGCATTGGTCAACAGAAAGCTTGTTTAAACAGTAAAGTTTTTAACTGGTTTTTTTTTTATGTATGTAAGATATCATGTCTGACTTCTGTCTCCTATACTGCCAACATACTGTTTATAATTTTGTTCATTATGCTGCATAGTACACTACTTGTATCTGGTATTGTGCAGCTCATTTTAACCCATGCATATTGACCAATATGTACAGCATAAATGATTTATTGTAAAACAAAAAGTCTGTCGCTTGACAGCCATTATATGATGTCCACTTGACAGAGCTACATAACTGCATATTTGCATAACATTAAAAAGTCCTTTGCATTAGAGTTTTACATTAAGTGTTTCTCTTCTGAAATCAAGTTTGTTATTTCAGAGCAAACCTGTAATTTCCCCACGTCCCTGTCGCAGCCCACCACTTTCATACCGAGCCGGACCAGCTCCACGGCTACAGCCGCCCCGATCCCAACCGAGGCTCCGGTCACCAGAGCCACTCTGCCCCGCCAGCGCTCCATCACGGACAATTGTAACCAGCTCACGCACCAAAAGTATGAAGAGAGGACGTGCCAAGATAGATATCCCTGACAGAATTAGTTTCCTCTGCGTCGTGAGCGCTCACCAGGTAGGGAGAACGGATCCAGTTGACTCCACCTCCATTCCAACCAAATTACTTGAAAATAGTAAGTAGTTACTATTACTTCTCCAAGAAGGTTATCCAGTTACTTTACTGATTACGTTTTTAAAAGTAATTATTTCATTTTAAAAACATGATACACAACCTGAATACGTTATAAAGCAATAGACCTTTCAGCCCAATTAGATTTTTTTCTGCATAATCCATCTAAAATTGGATCACTTGAAAAATCCTCTTTTAAAAATTGGTTTTATTATTTTTAATCTTTTAACTTTATGCACATTGCATCAAGCAAAAAGTGACATAATATGGAACAACCTATGACTTGAAGAAATTTGTGTAACATTTAAACCTATTTTGTGCACATTCAGGCATGTAAAAGAAGCAATTTTTTGGTGTTTATATTGTTTGTCTGTGATTTGGACAACCAAGCCTGTGCTCTCAACGCAGGGGAAACAAATTCTGCCGGGGACAACTACCTTGACATGACTGCCACAATAAAAACTGAAGTGAGTGAGCTAATTAATTTGTAACATTCTGTATAATATTAAGTATTTGTGACCATTCGGCCTCTGTCAAGGATTTCCTCGCTAAGATTAGAGACAATATGGGAAGAATCAATAATTCCCCAGTCATGCTCTATACAGCAGCAAAGAGACATTTAACTTTCAGGGGGAAATGCTTTTTAGGATCAGTCCTTCCATTTTGGACAAATGAAAACTTGTGGAGGTCATCAACATTTCATAGCTCAACAACCAAGAAGGAAAGAAGGCGTGATTTGGTAATACTTTATACCAGAATTGTGACTCGCAAATTAAGAACTTCTGAGGAAGTTGAATTTTTAATCATGAAAGGTTTTGTTTTGTTTTTTTGAGGTTTTTTTGTAAAATAAAAACTACACCAAACATTGTTATTATATTGGATACAGAAACCCTGTTTTAACAATTAAAACTTTAAACGGCCATTTTTGTGCACCAACTGATAGAAATGAACTTTTACACAGAGTCAGGTTTACAGAGTTATAATGGATGATGAATTGCAACTCACCGGTTTTATAGTAACATATAAACATAAACTGGCTGCCATCCCAGTTTCTTGGTCTCATCTCAGCATGACACAGCAGAAAAAACTTCATTATTATTAATTTTATTATTATTATTGTTATTATTATTTGTGGCAGTATATTAGTAGCAGCAGTTGGAGTATTTTAAATAGGATTTCTCTTTAAAGAACACGTGTGGATAAAAGAAATATCAAGTTTGTTTGTAGACCAACACACATGCTTTCTCTTCTCTGATTGCCTCTGAAAGAAATAGATGTTGTTAGTGTCATCACAATATGTGCTCAGCGCCTCTCTGCATGTTCAGATTTCAGATTTTATCTTGTTTCATGCTTTTACTGTGGCTTATTAACTTTCCCTTAATTGCATTTTAAACACAAGCAGTTTACTCATAATAAGATAACACTGGTATAAACATGGACATACTATGTATGGAATTTAAACCATGGCTGGTTGTTAATGAAGAGCACAAAATGTCCCAAGAAAACACACCAATGAGTCATCCACTATTGTGCATTTCACAGCTCTGCTTTTACAGTGGGATGCAAAGGTTTGGGCAACCTTGTTAATAGTCATTATTTTCCTGTATAAATCGTGGTTGTTACAGTAAAAAATGTCAGTTAAATATATATATAGGAGACACACACAGCGATATTGGAGAAGTGAAATGAAGTTTATTGGATTTACAGAAAGTGTGCAATAATGTTTAAACAAAATCAGGCAGGGTGCATAAATTTGGCACTGCTGTCATTTTCTTGATTCAAAACCTTTAGAACTATTATTGGAACTCAAATTGGCTGGTAAGCTCCAGTGACCCCTGACTACATACACAGGTGAATCCAATATGAGAAAGAGCATTTAAGGGGGTCAATTGTAGTTTCCTCCTCTTTTAATTTTCTCTGAAGAGTAGCAACATGGGGTCTCCAAAAAACTCTCAAATGACTGAAGACAAAGATTGTTCACATCATGGTTTAGGGAAAGATACAGAAAGCTGTTCACAGATTTAGCTGTCTGTTCCACAGTAGGAACAAACAGAGCCGCTTGGGGTATCTAAAGCACATTTGGACAAGTCAGCTTCATTGTGGAATAAGGTGCTGTGGACTGATGAAACAAAATTGAGTTATTTGGGCATAACAAGGGGTGTTATGCATGGAGGAAAAGAACACGGCATTCAAGAAAAACACCTGCTACCTACAGGTAAAATATGTGTGGTTCCATCATGCTGTGGGCTGTGTAGCCAGTGCAGGACTGGGGATCTTGTCAAAGTTGAGGGACACATGGATTCCACTCCAGTATCAGCAGATTCTGGAGACCAATGTCCAGTATCAGTGACAAAGCTGAAGCTGCGTGGTCTGGATCTTTCAACAGACAACGACCCGAAACACTGCTCAAATCCACTAAGGCATTCATGCAGAGAACAAGTACAATGTTCTGGAATGGCATCTCAGTCCCCGACCTAAATTATTTGAAAATCTGTGGTGTAGTTAAGAGAGCGTCCTTGCTCAGAAGCCATCAAACCTGAATGAACTAGAGATGTTTTGTAAAGAGGAATGGTCCCAAAATACCTTCAACTACATCCAGACTCTCACTGGACCTACAGAAGCGTTTAGAGGCTGTAACTTCTGCAAAGGCGGATCTATAAATATTATTTCATTTTTTTTTTTTTTTTTTTGTGGTGCCCAAATTTATGCACCTGCCTGATTTGTTTAAACAATTATTGCACACTTTCTGTAAATCCAGTAAACTTCATTTCACTTCTCAATGTCACTGTGTGTGTCTCCTATATGTATATTTAACTGACATTTTTATTGTAACAACCAACGATTTATACAGGAAATAATGACTATTAACAAGTTGCCCAAACTTTTGCATCCTACTGTTCTTCCTTTGCAATATTAATCACTAGAGGTCATAGTCAGGCTGGACTGGGACAAAAAAAAATGTATGTTTCTATACATTTACGTCAGATAAAACTTTGGTCGTAGATTCAGAAAGTGTACTTTATTGATCCCCGTGTGGAAATTCCTCTCTGCCTTTAACCCATTCACTCAGTGAGCAGTGGGCAGCCATTGGGCGCCCAGGGAGCAGTGTGTAGGGATGGTATCTTGCTCAGCTGTTCAGGGAATCGAACCCCCCGACCTTCCGATCATGGGGCACCACTCTACCTACTGAGCTATCCCTGCCCCAGATTCAGATAACTATTTAATAAGAGCTAGATGTTTTAAATGAGAATAAGAAAGAAAGTATTTCTTTGTGCCCCCCTTTCCCTGTATGCCCTACCTGGCCCCCTGGCAAAACTTGCTAGAGCCACCCTGCACAGTTACCAGCTGTAAGCTACTAGAAAGGATCCTGGTGTTATGTGTCTCTCAGAAACAGTTCAGCTCTGATTCAGTAAGGACATCTCCTGGTTTCATCTTCATGTTTCCCTCTCACCAGATATCCAACCGACATCATGACCAGCAGCTTTACAGCTGTGGCGCCAGCAACATTAGTGATACTAGAAGTAATATTAAATAAATTCTAACAACAGCTGATCTTAAACTTGCTGCTGTTGTTTAGCACGACATCCGCCGGTTTCCGCTTTCTGGCGCAAAGTGGGAGATAAACAAGCAAGAGAGAAAAGCCGATCAGCTGATCATTGGTCAGTTTCATGATTGAAGTAGCAACAACAGAGAGAGGGGAGAATGAGAGGAGAAGAGCAACTGTGCAGCTTACGACAGAATAACTCAGCTTTGTGTCTTTTCTATTGTAGCTGAAGTCTGGGACAAACTGTTCCTTTTCAGCTCAACACAAAATTTCTCTGAATGCGGGACGATTTATTTTTACAGGACGGTTGCAACTCTACTAACTAACCTTATGAATAATAAAGTTCACTATCAGTAAATGGTAAATGGCCTGCATTTGTATAGCGCTTTTCTAGTCCCTAAGGACCCAAAGCGCTTCACACTACATTCAGTCATTCACCATTCACACACTGCGATGGCAAGTACATCAGTAACATCTAACCCACCCAGCTGTTATAGAACTCTGTCATGTAGCTAGTACGCAGTACGAGTTATTGTCACTGACTGTAAAAAGTCAGCAGAACGAAAATAACTCCACCTAAACTTGGTTTATATCTGACCAGACTGACTGCAGGTCATAACTTCTTACTCTAGTTCATTCACCTGACACTTGTCTCTCCTTCTCTGCCTCCCTTCCTCATCCACATGCTGCCTCTGTGGAAGCTCCGCCATAGCCGCCACAAACAACTGAGTTATTTTTACACATCGACCAGCATCTGGCCAATGCACCACTTTCATTGTTTCTACCGTTACAAAAAATAAAGAAAAGAAAAAGAAAAAATCACCGGCCATAAAATGAAATCACCATCGGCTGTGCCAAATGCCCGGTATGCCTGATGGCCAGTCCAGCTATGTCATAGTACAGTCCTGGCCAATGTTCCCTCTAAGCTGCGTGCGTGCGCAATTGTGCACTGCTGGCACGGTCTCTGCGCACAGAAAATCTGCGTTGTGCACCAAAAAAAAAATCTAACCTGAATTGAACTTAAAACAAATACTTTAACAATTCTGTTTTGCAGTGTTAGTCAGAAAGTGACTGGCTGATCCCGTTGGGATTAGAACGATGCCACTTATCCCATAGTCCAGCCAATGATGCGATTCACATTCATATATATACGCAGCTAATGAACGTCATGACAGGCTATGACAGTCTTATGTGACGACACCGTGTTTTAGCTAGCAAAGCAGCGTGCTGATGTGGAGTGAAGCCACGTTAATGACAACCTGTACAACCATTGGAGATGTGAGCAGGACAGACGGAACAACTGACAGAAAAAGTGTGAACTTATACCAGTTTTAAATTGTGTTGATAGGCCAAGTAAACATGGATTATGATAAAAAAATATGCAATGTTTGGTTTTCTTCCTGAATTGACTATGTGCACGAGACAATGCTAACTTCCTGGTTTGAGACCGGATGTGGGTAGTGCATTTCCGGTAGCTTACTTTCGGTCAATCGCTACTGCAAGATATACTCCAAAATCATGTCCAAAACTCAAACGGAAAGTTACAAAGAGGGAAGGTGGGAACACTCACCGCTGTTGTGTCATAAAAAATCTAATGATCAATTTTGACGTTTAAAGCTTTAGATCGATCAGTTGTTTACATCACTCAACACAAGCAGAACTGCATACTGCAGCAGAAGACACATCGTCCACATTCAGAAGCACATCTCTGTATAGTCACTGGTCTATGATTTAAACAGGCAAATGTTCAGCATTCAAACTACAGCTGAAGAATAGTCAAACCAGATGTTCCCCCGTTATGTCGTATCAGCTAGTCAAGTACACGCCTACACGGCATGTAACAAACCGTGAAAAAAGCCACACAAAAATGAATGATGCTGGTAACGGTTCTATACATTAGTATTTATGAAGGTATGTTGATTACCTTCAAATTACAGCGGTCCCTCGCTGTAACGCGGTTCACCTTTCACCTCGCTGTTTCACGATTTTTTGTGCAAGTTGCATGCTTTTTTTTTTACATCAATTTTGTCCTGCGTCCTGATCGCTGCAGACGATCTCCTCCGTGACGTCTCTCCTGTACAGTACAGAATCGCTGCATTGATCGTAGCAGTGTGACTCTGAGGTGCAGTACTGTTGTCCACCATGTCCACCAAACGTTTTTGCACTGTCAAAAATAAAATTGGCTACTTGATTTCACCTATTGCTGGTTATTTTAGAACATAACACCCGATAAACGAGGGACAGCTGAGAAATATAAATTTGAATCCCTTTTCTCTTTTGCTCTGAGGCGCGGGGAAAAATATCGACAAGTCGATGAACATCATTTACAGATATATTGGGTAAATGCCCAAGACATCTATAGAAATGTAAATCGCCACTTGATTCATTTGCTTAACTTGTTTTGGACCGTAACCAGGCGCGAATAGGACACCGGAAGCAAAGCTCCCCACAGGAGTTTCCGCACCGGAAGTAGCATATGCTAACGTGCACATAGTCAATACTATCGTTGTTATATTTACTGCGGGAAGAACAGTAAAACTGTGTTTATAAAGAAACCTCAAAAGCACTCTCCGCCTGTGAGCAAAACAACACCCAAAAAAAAACCCCTATTGCTATTGGTCGAAAAATGTACCATGTCGACCAATCAAAAATGATAAAGCAACATGGCATTTAGTTGTTTAGGAAGGGGAAGTTTTAGGAGTGACGGCGTGTTTTGAGACGTGAGAATTGCGACGTTTAGCGCAATCTTGGTATAGTTGTTTAGTGTAGTCAATAGTTTGTTTTGTGTGTCAGAAACAATGAGCGACTGCTGAATGTTACAGGTGTTACAGGATGATACATCTCCTGTTGTCAGGCCTGCAGTATCAGCTGTTGTTCTCTTTTATCTCATAGTGAAGAAATTATTTTTTGGAGTGACACAATAATTTGTGTGGCATCAGATTTAATGCAGAACAGCTGATTGTTCTGTAAATAGTTTGAAATGTTTATTTAAAAAATAAATTGTCCAACATTTAATTGTTAATTGTCCAACATTGGTCATTATATACTGTATTTGCAGACAGAGTTACAGACTCTCTCCCAGAACACAGACCCATACTCATAATTCAGTCAGACTTTATAAAAAAAAAAAAAAGTTTTGTTTTCAAAATTGGAATTCAAGTTATTTTTACTTCCAAAAGTTTAACTACTACACAGTCATGAACAAATTTTTTTTTTTTAATTTTCATGTAGTGGCTAAAGCAGTTAATTAATAGTAGTCTAACATAATGTAAATGCTTATTTGATTATTTAATAAACCTTGGATGGATTCGATGCTGGCATAACCACATGCACACGTCTAATGTTGCTCACAGTGTCCAAGGGACCGTCAGGGGTTTGTTGGTCGCTCAGACACATGAAAAATTAGAGGGAACATTGGTCATGGCCAGAATCTATTGCTCTTTGTCAAGTCACACTTGAAAGGACCAAAACACCAAGGTGCCAGAACTTTGACACTGCTGCCAGTTTTTTAAGTCAAACTTATGTTTTCTTGGTAGTCAAAGTTTTATATTGACATGATAGCTCCTTTAAAAGCTTACTCTCTCAGATACCTGCGTTTGTTTATTTACACCAAATGTATTGTTTATTAGAGCCAAAATGAACATAGCAACAGTTCTCTATTGCATCCTTACAATGGAGCATTGTGCTTGCGGAGCAGTGTCAAAGTGTCAAACACTCAGCATTGGTGAGTGCTTGTAGACATATTTGATCATCCACACAAACTCCCGGAGAGTTAGAAATCTGCTACCATACAAAGGAACCACACAGAGGTTTTAGTACAGCACCATATACCTCCTTGCCACGAATTTTACCTAGTGACTGCCAACAACTTCCAGCAACCATTCACCAACTGGTTGGAGAAACATACATTGGTAAGTGACCTTTGTTCATCAGTCTTTAGGCCCTTATGACTTGTACGGTTGCTCCATGACACCCCCCCCAAACCAGCTAAGGTTCTAACCTGCTGAAATGAAATCTGCTTAACAGTAAAAACACTCTTAGAGCTTAAATACTATCCAGCAACTGAGATCTGTTACAATAAGAAGGAAGCTGTCATTAATTAAAGTGTTTTCATGGCATTCCTGCTGGCCAGTAGGACGCTTGTAAAAAGGTACCACAGGGACCTTGATAAGAAGACAATTAGACAGAAAAGCTGGATGAGTTCCTTATTTTATCCTTCTGTGAATTGATTACAATCTGACAGTGTGAAAGTAAGGAGAGCCGGTCACACACTTTATGTAAGATTGGATGGGTCTCAAGCCAAGTTGCATGACACCTGCTACAGACTTCAAGCAAAATCTCCCCAATCTGAAGAAAAGATAGATGAATGTTATCTATGACTAAACTGCTGATATTAAAATGGAAAATAGAAAAGTTCAAAAGGTCACAAAAAGAGGAAAATGAGAAAAAATCTCAAACCTGAACATGAGAGGGCACTGAGCACATATGTGACGGCATGGACGAGGTCTTTGCTTCCAGAGACTATCAAAGAAGTGAAAAATGCTTAATGAATTTAATAGTAATCATATCAACAATACTGTAGCGATTGTAGAATGAAGGAATAATGATTTTACCTTATTTTTATGTATACAGCAGCTGCTTTATCAGAATTGTCTCTGTAACGCGGTATGCAATTCTGTCTTCACAACGCCAGGAGAAATGCTCTGCAAAATGACATTATTAATGAGGATTCTTCAAGAAGTACTCTGTGTGCATCTCATAACAGCTGACATTAGTGTTAAAGTACTTTGGAGCTGGTTACAGTGTCTTTCAAAAGCTTACTGTGGCCCGGATATGAGTGTTTTCTGCACGCAGCTCCTGCCTCAGCCCTCAGTCAGCGCAGTTACAGCATACTGGTGGCGGTGTAGAAATGTCCGTCAGCATTAGGAAACACTTGATGCCGCACACACTGCAACAGAGGATATTTACAAGTGTTATAACAACAATGGCAACAGTTTCTATATCGTTTAACATCCACCTGTTTTCTTTTGCTTATCTAATTCAGGGTCCAGGAGCCTCGGGTACAGCACAGACAGGTCCCAAGTCTGTCACAGGACACAGAGACACAGACACAGTTCAACTAAACTAACCCAACTTACTGCATGTCTTTGGACTATGTGGAAGGTGAGAACTCCTGCAGACACAGGGAGAAGATGCAAACTACACAGAGAAAGACACTGCCAGATGCTGGATTTGTGAGATAAGTTGTGAGATACAGTGTTAACCACTGCATCACTATGCTGTTGTGCTGTAATTAAAGGTTTCTATATAATGTATAACCAGGAAGGTACTTGTGTTTTGAGATTAAAAAAAGCAAAACATTTCTCGGTTCTGGCAATTAGATTTGGTTTCATTTTTCTTGATGATTTTCATAGTAAACTCAAAAATCTTTTAGTTCTGAACTGCTAGCTGGCCAATGAAAGCAATATGAAGATGTCCCTTTTGGTTCTAATATATTGTATTGACACAGCAGTCTGGTATTTATTTTTATTGGACCTACCAGTAATAAAAACACTCATTGGCTATAGTAGGTTCTTAAAGGGGAGATACAATGTGTGCTGTGAGAAAGTCCATTGTGCAGAGTTGCCAAAAGAATGACTGAATTATAAGATGTTTGTGTAAACTGCACAAGCATACCCATCACTGTCCATCAGTAAAATAAAACTGCACCTGTTTATGTTTATGATGTGCCCATCGTCCACATTTCTCTCTTTCATTGACTGATAAGCTTCACGTGCACAGATACACAGTGCAAGAACGTTCACCTGTAAGAAACCAGCAGTGAAATAAACGGTAAAACAAATATATGTAATCAATGCATCAAAATGATACTTTTCCTTGTTGCTATTTGCACTCAAGATGAACAAATTCTTTTAATTCAATTCAATTTTATTTATACAGAACGAAATCGCAACAACAGTCGCCTTAAGGTGCTTTATATTTTAAGGTAGACCCTAATACATACAGAGAAAAAACCCCAACAATACAATGACCCCCTATGATCAAGCAAAGTGGTGACAGTGGGAAGGAAAAACTCCCTTCTAACAGGAAGAAACCTCCACCAGATCCAGGCTCAGGGACCCGACCAGGTGGGTGAGAGAAGGAAAACAGGATAAAAGACATGCTGTGGAAGAGAGCAGCTTACACCTGTTGCAGGATAGCTAAGGGAGGATTCAGAGTCACCTGATCCAGCCCTAACTATATGCTTTAGCAAAAAGGAGTTTTAGGCCTAATCTTAAAAGTAGAGATCGTGTCTGTCTCCCATATTCCACAGAAGAAAGGCCTGAAAACTGAAGGCTCCCATTCACCTTTTAAATACTCTAGGAACCACAAGTAAGCCTGTGGTCTGAGAGCGAAGTGCTCTAATGCAAGGATACAATACTATGACATCATTAAGATAAGATGGGGCCTGATTATTTAAGACCTTGTATGTGAGGAGCAGGATTTTTTAATTCAATTCTGGATTAACAGGGAGCCAATGAAGGAAGCCAGTATAGGAGAAATATGCTCTCTCTTTTAGTCCCTGTCAGTACTCTTGCTGCAGCAGTTTAGATTAACTGAAGGCTTTTCAGGAAGTTTTTAGGACTTCCTGATAATAATGAATTACACTAATCCAGCCTAAAAGTAATAAATGCATCAACTAGTTTTTCAGCATCACTCTGAGACAGGATATTTCTAATTTTAGAGATACTGTGCAAATGGAAAAAAAGCAGTCCTACATATTTGTTTAAAATGTACATTAAGGGAAATATCCTAGTTAAAAATGACTCCACGGTTCCTCACAGTGTTACTGGAGGCCAAAGCAATGCCATCCAGAGTAAGTATCTGGTTAGATACCATATTTCTAGGAATTTTAGGGCCGAGTACAATAACCTCAGTTTTTTGTGAATTTAGAAACAGAAAATTGGAGGTCATCCAGGTCTGTATGCCTTTAAGACATTTTTCTAACACACATCAAACTAATTGGTGTGTTATCTGGCTTCATGCATAGATAAAGTTGGGTGTCATCTGCATAGCAGTGAAAATTCATCCTATGCCTTCTGATGATACTGCCTAAGGGAAGCATGTAAACTGGTCCTGGCACAGAAACTACAGAACAATTGGATGCTATTTGATCGATATGATACATGCCACTTCAGTGCAGTACCTGTAATACCTACAGCATGTTCTAATCGCTCTAATAGAATATTATGGTCAACATTATCGAACGCTGAGGTCTAGCAGGATAAGCTAGACTGACTACTGTCAGGGGCCAAGAAGATCATTTGTAAAATTCACTAAAAGTGAGTTAGCAAATGGCTGCAATCACAGCATTGTAAAATTGGTTCAGCGATGGTCTTTGTTCAGCGGTTGTTGATCTTTGGTCATGCCAGTTTGGATAGTAATAATCCAGGAGCTGACCTCACAGCCCATTTTTTTCATTCAGTGGGCTGGTTTCAGTCATTGTGCAAAGGTACTGTTTATGAGGTTGGGTCATCTGAAACTGAAGATGTCACTTGGATGAGTGACGAAACGTTTCTCCCACTGAGATGCTACGTCCAGATGATCAGAATCAATTTTTTGGGACTTATCTAAAGGCGTTTCTGTATTTTGATGAGCTCTGAAACCTGATTGAAACTCTTCAAATAAGCCATTTGTCTGCATATGATCTATTAGCTGTTTGACAATTTTTGAAATGAAAGGTTAGAAATTGGCCTATAAACATCTAAAACCACAGGGTCAAGAGATGGCTTTTTAAGTAACGGCTTTTTAAGTTTAACTACTGCCAGCTTGAAGGCCTGAAGTACATAGGCAACAGTCTTTCAGCAGTCTTGTAAGAATGGGGTCTATAAGACATGTTGATGGTTTGGAGGAAGTAATTACTTATGTTAACTCAGAAAGGTCAATTGGAAAAAAAGACTAAATAAATACAAATGGTACTCAAAGTATGTGTAGATAATGTTAGATCTGTGAGATCATTATGAGTAATTTTTTCTCTAATTGTTAAAATTTGATTTGTGAATAAATTCATTAAGTCATTCCTAGTTGACGTTAAAGGAATACTTTGCTCAACGGTGCTTTTCGTCAATTTTTTCACCTTTTGAGGGAAGCCAATTGAATCTAATAAAATATTAAATACCACGTTGATTGAGACTGTCATTTGTAACATTTACATGGATATCACCCATAATAATTTTTATTTGAACAGAGCACTAAATCAGTTAAAAACTCAGAAAAATCAGACAGAAACTCTGTGTAAGGCCCAGGTGGACAATAGAAGATAACAAATACGACTGTTTTTTTGAGTTTTACAGCTGAGGTGGACAAGGCTAAGCATCAGGCTTTCAAATGAGTTAAAAGTATGTCTTGGTCTTTGGTTAATTAATAAGCTGGTGTGGAAAATTGCAGGCATACCTTCCCCCAGCCTGTGCCTCGAGGATTTTGATGGTAAATGAGACTCAGGAGTGTTGATTCATTTAAACTAACATAATCATCCTGCTGTAACCAGGTTTCTGTAAGGCAGAGTAAATCGATTTGTTGATCAATTATTAATTCATGTACTAACAGAGACTCGGAAGAGAGAGACCTAATGTTTATGTTTTACTCTTCGGTGCTCATGAGGATACTGTATTGTTCTTTCTTTGTGACTTTTTTAACATTTAAGTCGATTTTTGTTGATTTTTAATATTTTACTGAATTTGCATTTACCCTTAGCCAACATGTCTTAAAACAGAATCGCCAATTCCTAGAGTCTGATCTCCTGCAAGTGTGTCATTGAGTGGGGAAAAGTAGTTAGCCACATGAACAGGTTGGTAGTGTACCGGGGGCTATGATACCTCCTCCCCGTCATCCAGCCATCCTGTTTCCCCAGCTACTCGACAGTCTGCCGGGGACACCTAATGGGGCCTGCGCTACCTTCTACCTTCGGCTGCACTGACTACAGGAGGCTGGCTAGCTAGAGAGTTTTCAAGGATGCAAAACCGAGTCTCGAATTCAATATCATTAAAATAAAAAATTTAAAAACTAAGCTAAGCTAAGACACAGTGAGTGAATACAGAGACATAATTTAGCGAGTAAATACAGTTTTTATTACAACACATATGCTACACAAAAACATCACTGTGTGTTGCAACAGGAGGTGATACTCTACGCAGAGAGAGCGAACACCAAGTGAAAGCCTTTAGCCAGTTTTGCATAATATTTTATCTTTCTCATCTATTGTGATTGTGTATTTATTTTAACCAGATGGGGATTTTCATAGTTTGACATTTTAACACACTATTTATCCAACTTTTTGTATAAATAAAAGACATCTATCTCATTCTAAAAAATGATGATGACTCAATTTATCATTTCATTAGAATACAGTATTCTGCTGGGAAACCACTCCTGTGAATGCTTTCATATGTAGCACACAACAACATATTACATATGTTATCAATATTATATTGCATACCAACCAGGAATATTTTCTTTCTAAAATAACTCTGAGTTCTTACATCCCACATGTTTTTCCAGCCACTGGTTTTGCCATTTAGCAGCGCCTCTGGATGAGCCAAGCCAGCGTTATTGATGCACACGTCCACGCCTTTGTGCTGCTCTTTGATCGTGGCGAACATGGACAGAATCTCCTCCTCTTTGGTCAAGTCACACTTGAAAGGCACCAAAACACCAGGGTGACCGGCGCTCTGACACTCTGCTGCCAGTTTCTGAAAACAAAAAGGAAAAGACGATACCTTGATAATCACCTTTGCATTCAGATTCTTGTGGTAAAAATACTCTGGTAAAAGTTGAATTATGGATTAAACTTCTTTACTAAGATAAAAGATACATTTTCCAGACTCTGAAATGAATTCAAAGCAAAAAAGTAAGAAGATAAGGAGTTTTCAATTATTTTACAAAGGAAACCCAACCTCATACAACTTTAACATAATAGCAAAATTAGTCATGGAAATGAAAACTTAATTTAAACATAAACTCTAATGAACACCTGAACGATAGTGAGAACACAAGCATAGACAAACAAATGAACTTATAGCTCTATTTGCTGCAGCCTACATTGTAGATGGATGAGTCTGCCTCTACATCTAAACAGAATATACATATACTAATTTAATAATATGAATACAATAC